TCTTCCGACGTCCGATTTCTTTTTAAAAAATGCGTTTCTAAAGTGCATAAACTTTTGGGATTGACTGTATATCAGTCTTCATTCTCTTTATCATCTTTATCCAATCATTCTTAAATAAATGAAAATTTGCATGTGTTATTATTATAATGCGCAAGTGCGATTACAAACTCCAGTTCTATATTTAATATCCCCGAACGGTAAATGTTACTGAAAGAATCGGTTTCGGTAGGGAACCATTGGTAACGTTTATCTGTAATTTGAATTAAGTGACGGTGATTGGTTGTGAAACCTATATTTCTCAATGAGTGTAACAGAAAAACTTAACACGTTCCGTGCCAAGCCGTTTTTGCCCTACATATCGTTCAGGCCATTTGATGTTTCAGCGCATTAAGTAAATATTTCTGCGTGCACCATTTATGGTACACGTGGCCTGAAGGTCAGGTTTAATGTGTATCATAAATGGTACACGGAACGTGTTAATAAGTTAAATAAGGATTTGCAAGTGGCAAAATAATTTAATAATCGAATCTGGTAATTTGATCAAAGCTTTTAATAAGAAATTATAGTAATTTAAATGCCAACTTAGAAATAATAATGCTCAACATTTTCCGAGCTAGACTCGTCATTTTATTGGAAAGGGTTAAGAATTTCTCGACATATATATATAAATACATATATAAATAAAGAAACCTTTAACTGCATTTGATAATTGTTTCTCATTGGCAGGATTAGCAAAATATGATAAAATGTTTGAAATATTTTCATGCCCATTTTATTACACTTCATCAAAGTGGCCTGTGGAGCCATTTAGGTTGGCGAGGCCTGATCTACTCCATTGAATCTCCCTCGATTTCATTGACATTTATACATAGATCGCTTATCAGGGAATTCGTTGTTCGCGGTTGCAGAACTTCGTGGTGAGACAGTCGAGTCAGAGCGACACGATGGCCCTGTCGGTGCGGCTGCCACCGGGAAAGGGGCCATACATCGAGCACTACCTGATCCAAGCCAACAAGGGGAAGCTCAGCTTGGAGACCAGCGAGAACAGGTTCGACAACATCCCCTCGCTGATCGCCCACTATTCTCAATGCTGGTGAGTGTCTCCTCTCTTGCCTTCGTCTCGCCCGATCGAACATCGTCGTCTCGTCTCCACTTTCGATCATCACATTCGATCTCGCGATCTGAGTGATGCTTCGTTCGTTCAATCTTCGACGAAAATTGTACCAAACAAATGAATGAATAGTCGCATAATTGAATGGACTCGTCGATCGTGTAGACAGCCGAGGAGGTGAAAGTCGGTGAGCCGGTTCGCGCCCGCAGATAATTTAGGCGACGGTATTAACGGGTCACGGCGCGAGGCCAAGAATAGGCTACGTGCCACTAATTGGAATAGTAATCTTTTTTATAAAAAAAAGTCGAAAACCATCTTCCGAAGTCTACAAAGTGGATCGAGTCTTCTACTTAAGTATATTATGTATACATATATGTATAATAAGTGTACGTATATTATATATATAAGTGGATCAACAATAGTATTTGGGGGCCCTAGGGCGAGAAAACTCTATTTTTCGGCCCTAGGGCCTAAATTTTCCAGCCCTAGGGCGTGAAAACTCTATTTTTTGTCCCTAGGGCCTAAATTTTCCAGCCTTAGGGCAAGAAAACTCTATTTTTCGACCCTAGGGCCTAAATTTTCCAGCCCTAAGGCGTGAAAACTATATTTTTTGACCCTAGGACTTAAATTTTCCAGCCCCAGGGCAAGAGAACTCTATTTTTCGGACCTAGGGCCTAAATTTTCGAGCCCTAGGGCAAGAAAACTCTATTTTTCGACCCTAGAGCCTAAATTTTCCAGCCCTAGGGCAAGAAAACTCTATTTTTCGGCCCTAGGGATTAAATTTTCCATCCATAGGGCAAGAGAACTCTATTTTTCGGTCCTAGGGCCTAAATTTTCCAGCCCTAGGGCAAGAAAACTCTATTTTCGGTCCACTTTATAGGTTTACGTTACGGTTTCCAATAAACTTCCCATTTGACGGTGAAATTTCTTATATAACCGAAAGAAAAAAAAATACCGCACACTTTCTTTTTCTTCCTACGATTTGTTTTGTAAAATTTCCCTGCCATTACTTTAAGAAGCTACGCGTGACAGCTTGACAACGTAAACAAGTAAAGCAATAATGGTCTTTTTTAGCCACGTGTTATAAAAAACCGTTTTGTTGTCTTCCTCTTCATGAATGATGAATCATCCGTAAGCATTCCTCCCGATACTGACCGATGACGTGTTAATCGCCAGCAGTTTGTTCCTATCGAATCTCACGTAATTTTGACCGACCGGTGGGGTCTCGTAAAAATTCCAAAAACGGTTGAATCATAAATGACTCCTCTTAGTCTTTCGTGTCCGGTGAACGGAACGGTCGTTCCGGCGTCTCAATTAGCCTTGACGGGTTTCTCAGCGCGCTAATTCCGCTTGATTTATTTGTTTTCGTTGGACGGGAACAGTGACGAATTGCCGGTACAATTGACACTGCCAAGGGCGATGCGCGAGGCCAAGAATAGGCAGCAGCTCTCCTCGCTGGCGCTTTTGGGTCAGGAATTCTGGCGATATCCAATGGCCAATCCGAAACCGCCCGAGAGCAGTAGCAGCAACACGTCGAGCTTGAGCAGCTTCCGGGGTGGTGAGCAATTGCTGTCGTTCTCATTTCTCAATTTCTTCTGAGTGACTTTTACTTACGGAACTCGATTCTCATTGGACCGTGTTAAATTCCGGAAAACTTGCGTAATTGTTTCAGGTAATAACAACTTGAACAACAACAACAACAACAATAATAATGTTCATACACCGACGACCGAGAGTATCGTACTGAATCTGGTGCCCATCTCGTCGCACGATACACGTACGTGATTGATCGATCTAATAAATTACCAATTGATTCACTTTCGATCCAGTCGAATCCAAGCAGAGTTTTCGTTCAAAACTTTTGAAATACACCAATATCTCGTTTTGCGTCGTTTCGTTTTGCGTTTTGTTCGAAGTTACGTTGCTGCTTAATTAGTACTAATTTTCACTGTGCGTCGTTAGATTTTCGAGGTTGCGTTGTTTTGGGTTCGAGTCTTTA